AAACAGCCCTCTTGAGAGGCAAGAGGAGGGATCTCATTACCAGCAAGAGCCAGGAGTGGGCAGTGAACTTCCTGGACCCAGATGACAGCTATACCATCAGAGGAGCTGCAGTAGAATCAAGAGCCAGAGCATGGAACAGAGCGATGGGCTTCCCCACCCACAGAGCAAGTTAAGATGTGTGCTTTTGTGTACGAGGGTGGCTTGTGGAGTGGTGTGCCCCTAGGCACTTAATTGGGGAAGCTGGTCTTGCTGGTCTTGCTGCCCCGTGGAAATGAAGCTGAGTGCCTTTGGACTGAGGCTTACTAAGGGGGAGGCTCTGGGCGTTTATTAGGAGACCTGACATTTTGTAACATGTCCTGGTAAACAACTACCCTGAGCATTTCTCACTGGCATTACAACTTGCTAACATCCTGAATAATTACTTTACCCCTGAATTTTGTCTGTGAGTTTGTGTGTAGTCATCGCAACGGATAGTAGAACCCAGAGAGATCAAGTAGAGAAGTAAAATCGAGATTAAGACAAATCTCTGGGTCTTGGTGTCACAAAGATGAATTAACACCCCTGAAAACCCACAGTCCTATGAGGGCAGACAGATATGTGCATGGCTCACCAAAAACCAAGCTCAGCCATTGAGTCCATGCCAACTCAAAGGGACCCTATAAGGACAGGGTAGAACTGCTCCTATGGGTTTCTGAGACTGTAACTCTTTCGAGAATAGAAAAACCCATCCATCTTCCTCCCACGGAGCTGATGTTTTGAACTGCTGACTTTTGGGATTACAGCCCAACTTGTAACCACTATGTCACCATGGTGCCTGCATGGCTCACGATAACACAAATTAGCAGTCTGCTATGAGTGCCCAGAGAAGGAAAGGAGTCAGACTTTGCATAAGACATTGGGAAGTGTTCTAGTTCAGGGCACACTAGAAATAGGCTGTTTAATACCATTTAAAGATGATTTCTTCCCAAACCACGATTTCACTATTAGCTCCATCCTCGGTCCAATTCTGACCACAGGCTCACCTTGATGGGATGATCAGAATAGGAGTCTCTAAAGAGGAGAGTTTGAAGTGGATCCTGAAGAACGAGAAGTGAGGTTTATGAGGCTCTCAGAGAAGTGTGTCGGGTAACAGCAAGCACATAGGCTGTGAGTTGGCAGAGTTGGATGACGGAGAACTTCAAGGCCAGCGCCACTGGAGCTTAATAAGAGTGAGGAGAGTGGTAGTGGATGACCTTATATATGTAATTTTATATCAACAGCCTAATCCTTAAGCCAAACAGCTGTTGGGCAAATCCTTGTTTCTAGTCTTCAGAGGGCTTTCTCAGAACAGGTAGCTAGTTTGGCACTGCCAGGAGGGACTGGATCTACCATAATCTTTTCCCCTGCCTCCAGTGCCAAGGGCAGGGTAGGACACAGAACAGGTTTCTGAAAACGATTTGCTGACAGCACGCTTGAGAAGGGAACAGGAAGTGCAAGGAGGCCCAGGCGCGGCTCTCTTTTCATTGGGGCATCCATTCTCAAGTCGCTAAAACACCTCTGCCAAGTGAGACCCAGAGATGGGAGGGTGAGTTGGCAGGGAGGCACCAGTCACAGGCCCTGCCCGCAACAACCTCAGTGGCTAGGAGGCTTGAAGGGCAGGTAGGAAAATGGGTGGTGAAAGTTAAGGGAGAGTATCCGACTTAGCTTGTGGGTAGTCTCGGTCAGGGAAGGCGGGTCGGACCCAGCCAGCGACTTAGATGTGTAAGACCATGGGCCGGGCATGTCATTTCGCTCGTGGGCATCGTTTCCTCTGAGAACATCCGCAGGTTTCAAAGGGGCCTCCCCCGGGGCGGGTCTTCGCTTTCCTCTCGGACCCTCTGCAAAGGGGCAGGGCTTCGCCGGCGCGCGAGTCCTGGCTGCAGGACTCGGGGTTCCCCGCGAGGGGCCGCTGCGCCCGGGCGGGGGGCCGCAGAGCGCGGGTTCCTAAGCTGCAGAGAGGCGGACACCGATTGGCAGCCAGGCGCGGCGGGAGGGCGGAGTCTGGAAAGCCGGCCTGGAATGGGGGGCAGGGAAGGCGCCCCGGGCTGAACGGAACACCGCCGTTGAGGCCAACGGCCGCTCGGGGGTGGGGGGTGGGGGTCCGTCGTTGTGCCGAGGGCCTCTGTCCAGCCGAGCTGTGGAGCCGAGGCCGGTGGAGCCGGGCAGCGGCCGCGGGAACGGGCTGGGCAGCAGCTTTTGCCGCCGCGGCTGCAGGCCTGGGTTACCTGAGCAGCTGCGGGTCCGGGGCGCGCCCGAGAGACTCTCGTAGGGGGGGCGGGGACCCTAGGTGCGTGCGGACGAGGGTCCTGGCG